GGCATGCACCATGAGATTCAGCATGTTCTGAGTATACTTAGGTAATTTCCAGTTAAAATTGGTAAAATATTCTTACAATTACAATAAATGGAAGGTATTTCAAGGAAAAACATTTTATCTTCCTATTTATAAGAGCAATGGAGCAAGAGAGATCATTTTCCTTATTTTCTGGAGTACCCATAAATAGAACATTCTTTAAAGCCATGTTATATAATATCCAAGAGGCTTGCTCAAGCAAAAACACAAATTGCCTTGAATAATGATGAATTGCTAATGATTGTCCAACTTGTACTTCAGATAGCCTGCCATTTATTTATTTTGTCAGAGACACACTAACAGCTTATATTAAAATTACTGTTCAAATAAATGGGTACAACAAATTGCTTTTGCTTACTTTGCTGGTAATTTTACACACCACAGAACTTGTTTTCCTTTTAAGAAAGCTGGGATAAAAATCATTGATCCTTCAGAGAATTAAAATAAGAAGGTAAAAGGACTCCTAGAACATTCTCCTTTTCCATAGTTTCTCTGTAAAATAAGAGAAAATAAGATCCTTAGGAGCAAACTAACCCCTAACAGTCTTACTTGGGGAACAGACAACCATTTGGGAAACAGCCTGGGGAGGCAACAGGAACCCACTGATTCTGGAACCCTCTCCTGACTGGAGAACTTGAGGAGGCAAAACCTCAGAGACCTCTCCAGGTTTTCCTGGAGAGATGTGTCTACAGGGGTTAACTGATTGGAACCACAGTGATGTGGGGAGGTTGGAATGCTGTAGGCCTAGGGGCAGTTCCTGCACTCCCTTTAGTTCCCTGCATCGCCTCTCCTTGGCCAACTCGGTGTCAGAACTAACATCCTGTGACTAATAGCTAAAAACTTTTGGAATCTTTGTACTTAGCAGGCCACTAGCTTTCACCAACCCCAAAGCTAAACAATGCTTTCAGATAGCATCTGAGGCCTATAGACAAGCTCCCCCATCTTGCTGTACCCACCACCAATGTGCTTTAAACTTGCCTGGATTTATGACTTCCTTTGTTTTGTAAAAGTATAAAACTTCATGCACAGCTATGGGGCACACTTTTATCCCAGCGCTTGGGAGGCAGGGGCAGGTAGATCATGAATTTAGGGCTAGGCTGGATGTGCTAGCTGCTTTTTGTGAGTTTGACACAAACCTAGGAAGAGGGGATCTCAGTTGAGAAATTGACCTGTAGGCAAATCTATGAGGAATTCTTGTTTTGTTTTGTTTTTCAGGGTTTATTATTATTATTATTGATTGATGATTAATGTGGGAGGACCTAGCCCAAGCCCATAATGGCAGTGTCACCTAGGATAGGCCATACTGTGTGGTACAAGAAAGCAGGTAGAAGCTGGGCGTTGGTGGTGCACACCTTTAATCCCAGCACTCAGGAGGCAGAGGCAGGCGGGATCTCTGAGTTCAAGGCCAGCCTGGTCTACAGAGTAAGTTCCAGGACAGTCTCCAAAGCTATACAGAGAAACCATGTCTTGAAAAACTCAGAAAAGAAAGAAAGGAAGGAAGAAGAAAGGAAGAAGCAAGCAGGTAGATCAAGGCATGAAGGGCAAGCCAGTAAGCAGTGTTCCCCTATGGTCTCTGCTTGAGTTCCTGATGTCCCTCTGTAGTGGAGGGTGACCTGAGAGTTCTAAGAGAAATAAACCCTTTTCTCCCCAAGCTGCTTTTTGGCAGAATGTTTAATCATAGCTATAGAAAATCTAACCAAGACACTGGACTACATGGTGAAACTCTGGGCCAGAATAAATGAATGAACTCTGGTACTGGCCACAAACACCTCCTAGATGCATCCCAGGGAAGTGTCACAGAATCTCAAGGACAGTCTGAATCTGGGACCTCACTCCATGGTCTTGTTACACAGTCCCAGGAGCCCATCCTGGATGGACCACTGGGGACTGGGGACTGTATGCTTTTCTATTCTTTGGCAAGGCTTCACACCCTCCCTTCATTCTTCCTGCTGACGCTCAGTGGCTGAAATGGCAGGCTATGTGTAATTTAATCCTTTCACAATTTGTCAAGCACCTGTACATACAAAGTCCCTAGCTGTGCCAAAGAGTGGAAGATCGATGACCGTAGCCATCCCCAGCAGTCTTTCTTACCTGCCCAGAGCTCAGTCTGCTGTAAATACTGGCTTTAAAAGTCACTGGTGCAAAATTCCTGGGGCAGGGTAGTCTTGTGCAAGCACTGTTAAAAAACAAACAACAAACAAACAAAAAACATCTCCAAGTGATCATAATCCATGAGGGTTAGATTAGCTACTTTGAGTAAGTAAATACACAGTCCTCACTGATGCCATTATGTGCTAAGGGAAGAAGCCATTACCTGGAATGAAAGGAAACTAAGAAGATGGAGGGGAGGGGGAATTTACCAAAAAGGATTGATCAAACTAGATCTATTCTATAGAAGAATATTCCAGAAAAAACAGTCAAGGAGCAGGAAGGGATTGTGGGAGGCACAGGAAATAAGATGTCCCCTTGTTGGATGTGGCCCGCTGTCTTGGGGCAGTACCCATGGTGACCTGGAGGCTGTTATGGAAATATGGCTCCTTGGTGTTGTTTCTTGTGGAGGGAGGCAGAAGGCATATGACCCCACTTTCTCCAGAAGAGTGTGGCAGAGGGAATGCTCTGGGGACGCCAAACTCAGCCTTTAGTGACTTAGTTGTGTCCATTTTGGCTCTTGAGAGACCAAACCACTGTGTGAAGGAAGAAGTCCAGGCTAGGTCACCGAGTTGTAAGAAGCCATTTGAAAAGAGGGACAACCACACCCTCAGCCTCCCAGTTCTCTACCTAGGAACACCATGCATTTGGCACAAGCTATGGAGACATTCCTACTTTGGCAGAGCCTCCTGAAGAACATGACAGCTTGGAGATTCCTAGCTAACACCTGGGAAAGCAAAACAACCTGCCAAGCCTGGGGCCCCTGGCCCATGCTGGCTGCCTGTGGCTTAAATACCTCCTGCATGGGTAGTGGCTGTTATACAGCCATGGTTAACAGGTTCACAAAATGAGTTGGAGTTTCTGTTATTTTAACAGTGTTCTGATTGATTTGCTTGTATGGGTTAAAAGTGCTGACATCTGTTGGTAATGGAAAATCCAATTCACTTGTTTTAAACATAATGCATTGACTCTTGTGACAGTAAGTTTCTGGTTAGGACAGGTTAATGGATCCATGCATAGTGTTTTCTGCTCAGCTCACTTTCTCATGCTTCTATCCCCAGGAAGAATACATTCCTCAGGCTACCACTCCAATGTCTGCAAGGAGGCTGCAAAGCTTTAGGCATTGCCCCAAACAACATTCTCCATCTCAGAAAGGAAGCATTCTTTCTTAAGAGTGAGGAAATCTTCATCAAACATCCTGCCAGCAAGTCTCAGTGTGCACCAGTCTTCTCATTTCCAGTAAGCCAGCCACTTGATAGGTTGGTGTTAGCTGGGCATGGGGGTGAGGGAGTACCCTGAGCCCTACAAAGGGTGAAGGCTTGGAGGACAAGGATGAAGTCACTCCTGTTGTAACACTAGGGACATACTTTGCTCAGTATAAAGAAAAGGCTGGGCATGGGGGTTCATGCCTGTACTCCCAACACTTAAGAGGCTGAGGCAGGAAGATTGCATAGAGTTTGAAGCCAGCCCAGGATAAAAATTCTGTCTCAAAAATCCAAATGAAAAACAAAGAAAATGAGCACATGCCTCTGAGTAGAATGGACATTCTCTGAAGATAGAAGTCTTTGTCCTGAGACAGGTCTGTACCAGGATCACCCATTCCAATCGTAATTTGCCAGAAGCCTACAGTTTGTCCTAGCAGTATCGGGTCATGGTAGAAATTGGATGGCATCACCAGGGACATGTGAACATGCAGTTGTGGTCACAGGACCACCAGGTACAGGGACCAGACTCTAGTTCCCAGGCACAGGGGCCTGTTGTCCTCAAGAGTCCACAGCAACCTAGGAGTACCAGTGACAGCTGCCTTCCAACACTAGCAGGCTCGTGGCAAGTCCAAGAAGGCAGAGAGAAACACTTTCCCTGAGTCGGGCTCAGTGTCTGCAGCCCAAGCTATGTGGTGAGACACGTGTGGAACATAGGTGAACAGCAAGGCGGTGGAGAGATTGGGTGGAAAATGGGAAACAGTGAGCTGGCGACTGGGGGTGGGGGCTTTCTATTTAGTCACTGACGATCGTTCCTTGTCATTAGAATTACAGTCTAATTCCAACTGTAGCGGTACCAGATCTCCCCCCACACCCTGTCAGAATGGTTTTAAATACATTACTAATATCCAGGTCTGGTGCTTCTGATTGGTCACTGCAGATCCTTAGTCCTCATCGGGTTCTACAGTTAAGTGAAGCAAAACCAAGGGGATGTGAACACTAAGAAACATCAGCTAGGTTAGGGGGACCTAGGGGTAAGGAAAGTTGTGCAGGCTGTGTGCTGCTTCACACCAGGACAGCTTCGCACCTGAAACTGGCGGTGGGGGTGCTAGCTGTGGTAATGTAGCTGAAATCTAGTAGCAGGGAGCTCTTGACCGCTCGATGGACCACCAGGCAAAATCCAGAGGCCTGGGTCTGGATGGAGAACCTGACGCAGGGCTCAGCAGCAGGTAGAAAGCAGTCCTAAGAGCTGGATCACGACATGTTTGGCTGGGTCTCCAAGGAAGGAAGTCCTAAAAGCGGTGGTGGTGTCTGCACCCTGCAGCCACCTGAGGATCCCGTGCCTTCGGTCCACCAGGGAGGCAGGCTCAGGGACTCAGGCCCACCGCATCCGCCATCGGGCCTGGGGCTCACAGCCAGGCTTCTTTTCTAGGACAGGACTGAGCGGGGGAGGTGGGGAGCCGGCACCCGACGGGCCACACGGGGGCGGTGACAGCACCCTCGCGTCCCGCGGGGAGGCGGAAGCAACAGGGCGGCGGCGCGCGCCGGGGAGTCGCGGCGCGCGCGGGGCCGGGGCGGGGGCTGCGGCGCGCGCATGCTCACAGGCGCCCGTGACGCGCGGGGCGCAGCGGGGCAGAGCCGGCTCCAGAGGCGCGGCGGCCGCGGGAGGAGCAGGCGCGGAGCAGCGAGCGCAGGCCGCGCCGGCCCGACGGGAGCAGCGCTGGGCGCGGGCCGCCTCCTCCAAGCCGCCTGCGCGCGAGCCGCGTCCCTTGGCCGCCGCCGGCGGGGCATGAGCGCGGAGGGGCCGCGGCCGCCCCCCGCGCCGCCCAGGCCGTGACCGGGCGGGGGGCGGCTGCACTAGCGCCCGCAGCCCGGGAGCTCGCGGAGCCCGGAGCGGCAACCATGGACTGCAGCCTACTGAGGACGCTCGTGCGCAGATACGTGAGTGGCGCGCTGGGGCTGGGGCCGGGACTGGGACCGGGACCGGGACCGGGATCGGGGTCGGAGTCGGGATCGAGATCGGGATCTGGTTCGGGGTTCAGGCCGGGAACGTCCCGCCGATAGGTCCGAGCCGCGCTCCACCTGCGCTCAGCCAGGCCCACCTGGGTAGGCGATTGCAGCCCCTTCAGTGCCGAGGTTAAGGGACATCCATCTCGGGGGCTGCGCTCAGTTGTAGCGGGGCGGGCCCTCTCGGGCGACACTGACCAACTGGAAGACACGTACAGGCTGCGGGGAAGCGGGGAACCTCCGCCAGGGAATCCAAAGTGAAGTTTGCCATCTCTGAAAGTAGCCGGCCAGGTCCGAGTACGCAGTTCCTGGTCCCTCTGATGCTGCTGCGCGGGTAGTGAGCGTGCCTCACCAGGGGAGGCCAGGGAGGTGGCAGCCATGGGTCAGGATGGAGCAGAGGGGTGTGCACAGAATAGAGAGATCTGCCCCAGGACGGAGCTTCTTTTGCGCTAGGCACAAGGACCTATTGTCCGGCAGCTGGCGCCGGGTGGTCACAGGTTTGAGGAGCGCGTGCCCGGCGCGGGCTGGGTACGCAGGATCGACCCGGAGCCGGCTCTTTCTGGCTTCTGTGAGCCGGACACTTGACCTTAGATGTGGGTTTTTTCCTCGGGGGTGGGGTGGGGATGTACCCACTGAGTTTTTTCTAGTTAATTCCCTTCCAAGATTGACCTTCCAGTAAGAAAAAGAATGAGACTAGGAACTGAAGTTCCCCCCTGGAAAGTGAAAGGTGGAGGGGTGGAGGTCGTCCCTCGTTCCCTGTAGAGCTTTCCAGGGTCAGAGGACACTTGGTCGTCCCAAGTGGGTGCTGTTTTTAATTCTGTACTTCCCCGAGGCCTCCGTCTGTCTTATATTTCCTTAATCTAGGTAAAATTTCAGGTTAGTTTCTTTGTTGTGCTATTTTACCTTCGAAGGGGCGTTTTCTTCCAAATCTTGGAGGTAGATATTCCTTAATGAACTTTCCCACTCTTAACTGCTTGATAATATGTCTGGAACGTAAATTATGTGATGTTATTCTTTCTGCTGCTTTCGTTTTGTTTTTTACCCCCTTGCTCGCAGTTTGTTCTCTGCCGAATTCCTGTACACACTACTCATGTCTATGACTTTAAACCAGTCTAAGCCATGAAGTTACTTGACTTTTTCCAGAAACAGTTATGATTTTTCATGTAATCTCCCAACATGTGAGATTATATTATATTTCCTTTTGTAAGAGAAAAAAGAGATTGTATATTCTTATCTCAAGGATTATGCAATTTTAACCTACAGAAAATTAGCCTCTGGGTCTCTCTCCTTCCTCTCCTCACACAATCAGAATTCCTGAGATGATAAAGCTACCACATCTCCCTTTGAGGCCTGAGGTTGCTAAAGATGGAGCCGTCAGTCCTTGGAAAACATTGTCGTGGGTATTTTGTCCTGGGTCAATTCCTGGACTGAGTATGGGCAGGTAAATGGAAGAGAGAACTCTTGTCTAGGCAAAGCCAGTGCATGCCACAGTATACACTGTTGTACATTTGAACAGTCTCCTGGTTGTGGAAGGGTGCACAGCTCATGCACCGTGAGGTAGCCAATGTGCCAGGACGAAGTCTAAGTCATGTTGTGTGTGTAGAGTGTGTGTAGAATTAGTGACACTTCCTCTTAGGTGTGTGAGGTGGGGAGTGTGGACCCTTTGAGGGGAAGCAGCAGAGCCTTCTGTCAGAGGCTTGAGGAGGGTCCTTCCATTTGCAGCTGAGTGAGTACCCAGGACAGGTGGCCACTCTGTTGTCCTGCTTCTGGTGCTTTTGACAGAAGACAATGGCAACCTGGGCCTTGCGGTGCTTGTGTGGATTCAGTGTCTTAGTCCAGAAGAGGGCTAAGAATGGGGCCAGGTCTCAGAGAGGCTCAGCAAGCCTACCACCACACCCGGCTAAGGTTCCCCAGGCCCTGGGCTGCCAGTGAGAAGTTAGCTGAGTGCCCTGGTGCAGAGCAGGGTGGAGGACTCAGACACCCTTTAAAAACTTGACTTTGAGAGAATCTCATTGTGTGCCTCTGGTTGGCCTGGATCTCACTATGTAGACCCGGCTAGTTCTGAACTCATAGAGATCTGCTTGCCTCTGACTCCCCAGTGCTGGGATTGGCCACCTGGCTCCAAGCCCTTTAAACTTTAAAAGGGGGAGTGTTGGTTGGTCCCCCAGCCTCAGGGCTTCCCTGAGGCAGTGGAGGGAAGAATTGGTGGTGGATATGCTTTTTTTTTCAAAGATAAAACAATTTAAAGCAAGGTATGGAATACTGCTACAGCACAACCATGAACTTCCTAGGCCGTTCTCCTCACAAAGAAAGACCCTCCCTTTCCTCTTGCTGTCCTGGTTCATGCAGAGGGGATTTTAGTTTTCCTCATATTCTGTAGGTCAAGAGCTTCATTTCATCCTGCCTGAGTGATATGTTTCTGATTCGTTTCTGTGATTGGTTTCTTAGGTTTTAGGGCTTGCCCAAGCTTCTGTGAGGCACTGCCTTCCAGAATTTCTTTGTATATAACATACTTTGTCTAAGACTGAAAGCCTAGGAAAAGCTGAAGGCTTTCCTTCCTTTAACTTTCTTTCTTGGTGATTGAACCTACGTCTCTCTGCATGCTAGGTAAGTGCTCTACCCCTGAGTTATGTCCCCCAGGTCTTTTTACTTTCTGAGACAGGATCTCCCTAAAGATGCTCAGGGTGGCCTTGAACTCACTTTGAATGCAGGCAGGTCTCAATGTTATGGTCATCCTGCTCCAGCCTTAAGAGTAGCTGGGATTATAGGTCTGCACCACCATGTCCAGCTGATTTAATTTTTTCTTTTATTCTGTGTGCATGGTCTTCTTGTCTGCATGTGTGTAAGTACACCACGTTCATGCCTGGTGCCTGTGCAGAGGTCAGAAGAGCACCTGGGGCTGGAGTTTCAGCTGGCTATTGTGAGTGGGTGCTGCAAATCAAACCTCTGGAAGAACAGCTGAAGTCTTAACTGCTGAGCCTCCTCTCTAGTCTTTAATTTCTTATATATTAGAAAAAGAGTTTTGGCGCCTGAGGACTTCAAGCACTTACTCTACACTTCCCCAAAAGTTTAGAAATTTATAAGGATGGAGAAGTATCACATCTATTACTACTTCTACAGAGTCTATTTCATCTTCCTCTTCTTCTTCCTCTTCTTCTTTTTTGAGATAGGGTTTTACTATGTAACTCTTGCTATCCTGGAATCAGTACATAGACCAGGCTGGCCTTGAACTCTCAGAGATCTGCCTGGGACAGCCTCCTGAGTGCCTGAATTAAAGGTGAATGCTACTGCACTCAGATTCTTAGTTTTTATTACCAGGTGGTTTGAGTCATGGACATCAGGGTATACAATGAGCTTTTCTAAGAGACTTAACTCACTGGCTTGCTACTCCTAATCCAGCTCTGAGGATCCAGGCCTTCCTGTTCAGTCCCCAGAGTCCGTATTCCCGGACACAAAGTGAAACCACTTAACCACCAAGGCCCTTCTGGTATTTGAAGTAAGTGGTTCCTTAGGCATAAAAACCCCAGGCTAATGGATGGTCTGTCTCCAGCATGGTGGTAGCAGTCTATAAGATGGACTTGTAAAGTTTATAATTAACACATACTTAACAAGGCAGCAGCTAGACAAGCTGGTCCAGCACCTGCCTGTCTTCAGGGGCTGGTGTGTTCTGATATTTAAACTTTGTTTCATTTTTGCGTAGAATCTTCCCTGTTGTTCTATGGAACCCTATTGACTGTCTGCTCATTAGGACAAGCAAGCCTCAGATGCTTTTATTTTATGCCAGACACTGAATTTAATAACCATAGGGGAAAAGACTGTGTCCTCACAGCTAGTTAAGTTTCTAGAAATAAGAGCACTGTCTTCACTTTACAATTAGCTGAGATAGCATGACTGTTAACAGGCATGTGTAGTGTCTCACTACCCAGGAATTCTGTCTGCAGATGTATTCCAATACGAATATACAAATTGTTACTAGGTGCCTGTGTTCAACACCAACAGGATAGATGGAAGATTCCGATGTCTCAGACTTACAAATGTTCTTTTAACCAAGTTAAACGCAGGTGAAAGTGCTATTTATTTGTAACACAAATCAATAGAAAGCCATTTTTTACAGCACTGGAAATACAAGATTGAATAGGTACTATTTTTGCTTGCCTGGGATGCTGATGGCTGGGAAACTCAGGGTCGATGAGCTTTGGAGGTTAGGCATCCATCTCCTGGATCCTCACATCTTTCTCCGCCTCCGCTTGGGTTGGTACCTTGGGCTGCTGCTTAGCTTCTTCACACTGTTTCCTCCTCTGAAAACAAGGACTGTCAGTAGTGCCCACTCCCCGGTGCCCACACTGTCCAGGACACAGCCTTCGCACACGGCTCATGCTCCATGAGTTGGGCCAGTATGGATTGGACACCATGAGTCTGTGCTGTCCTCCTTCTCACGGGACTTCTACTCTCCCTCTTATGGGGCAGCTGACAACCTGCCCAGATGTTTGAGAAGAAAACAGACAGCACACCCCTCTGCAGATCCCACAGCCCTGCTCTTTCTGTCCTGGCCTGCCTCCCTGGTTTGGGGCAGCAGTCCTGTTTTGATAGAGACCAGTCCTGGAGCTTGTACTCCCTGTCTTCCTGTTTAGATGACATCATTGCCCCATGGTACACAGTCATGTCCTTGTCTGTCCACCCTTTATCTTGCTGGCTGACCAGACTTTCTTCCCTCCACCTTGTTGTCTTAGTCTCGCTCCTGGAGTGCTCTTCACAGGGTCTTCTTGACCTTGGGGTGGTTTGCACCCTCACACTTTAGTGAGATGGAGATCTCCATCCTTGGGTGGCCACCCCAGAATGGAGAGGCAAACTGAGCATAAGCAAGTATTAGTGGTCAGATGTGTTCTTTTTTTGGCATCACAGGTAACAGTTGAAAAGAGAAAATATATTTTTGA